AATTTTGAGATAATTCCGCTGATTTTTTTTAAATCCGCAAAATATCGAATATCGGAAGTTTTAATTATATGGGTAATTTTCTGTCTTAGAAAGAGGTGCCCATTTTGTACTCCAGATACCAAATTTGAAATAGTTTCGTTGAAAAGTGTGACAATATACGGAATATCGTGAGGTACAATTATATGGGTTCTATAACAAAGTTAGTTATATAGGGTAAAATCAAATTGTGCCATATAACCCATTTTCAATACTAAAAATTCTAGGGACCTAAGATGAAGTTGAGTGAAATTTTGTCCACCTACTCCGCTTCGTACAGACTCTAGAGTGATTTTCCCAGACGACTAGAATCTTATGCCGATCAAAAATATATACATTTTGTGGGGACTGAAGTCCTTTTTTTCGAGGAGTTACAAGCGGAATGACAAACTTAATATACACCCATATTAAGCATGGTGAAGGGTGTCAATTTCGCCAAACATTTCATAGAAATTGTTCGGCAACTGAAATGGAAGAAGTGCTTTAGTGTGGTGTTGTAATTACCTAGTAGGTCATATGCTTTGACGACCGATACTGTTTACCGTGTTTTTGAGGTATTTAAATTCTAAATACATATAAATTGTATGCCTACAGGATTGGAGACTACTCTTTACAAATCTCCAACTATGTAATATTTGAGCTTCATTGACCAGGTACTTTTTTTAAAGTCGTTTACAACAAATTACTTTCCTCTACAACCTTCCGCTAAGTACGAATAAAATTCACAAAATTGCCGTAAAAAAACTTTCTCAAATCAAAAGGACATTTGTGTTAGGTCCTCAATTTGACCGACAATTGGCTTAATTTCTCAAAAAACGAACAAAAAAAACGCAAACGACACATTTTTTCGAATGGTCAAAGTTTTTTTATTTAATGCTCTCAAACAATGTTTTGATATGGAGGTCATAACAACAAGCCTAAGCAATGTTAAGCGGTAAAAATGATGACCTCTGGCCGCCTCTCCCCCCCCCCCCCCCCCTCTTCTTTTGGATTACAACTCCCTAGAGGGGAGTGGACAGGGGATGTATGATTAACATTTGATTGGGCCAAGTTAAAAAGCCATTTTGAGTGGATTTTCTATTTGTTATGTGGTCGCGTTTGCAGTTGACATTTTCGTAGCAAGTTATTGGGCCAGTATTAAGAAGTTGTTTTTATTGTTGTTTTTTTGTTTTTGTTTTTCCTTTTGTTTTGGTTATGGCTCCATTTTGTGTTGTTGGTTGGTTTGTCAAAATAACTTTGTTTAAAGTTATAACTTGAAATGCTATAACTTGTGAGGAAAAAAGGGGAGGAAAGTTAGAGAGAGAGAAGAGTACATCAGGAGGGGGTTTAGTGGGCTATGACTTGTCCTTTGGCGTATATCCATCCGCCAGTGGATTTATTTTATTAGAAACTTTTTTATGAACAAATTATACGTGTTTTTCCAATTCTCTTCTGTTTTGTTACTTTCTTTCTTTCTTTGCGTTGCTTTGTTGGAGGTGATTCCTTAGGCTGGCCGGTTGGTACGTTGACTGTCTGCTTAGCCAGGAGGCCAGTTTTGCCTTTTAGCCTGCTTAGTTAGCTTTCTTGTGGTAATTCCTTAAATAATTTCTGCCCGAGTTTTGTTTTATGGCTGTGTCAAGTTAAGTATTTCTCCGGAGCCAGGGTGATTTTTTCATGTTTTTGTTGTTGTTGCTGTTTTTGTTACGGGTCCTCAAGTAGTCTCTTGAAATTATGCTACTTAACAAAGTTTGACAACGTTGTTAACTTGGCCATTTATTTAGTTTAGAGCGTCACACTACCCTGTGAAGTTTTTTTGGGGGGGTCCCGGTCAGGCTAAGAATTGTTGGTATTAGTGTGTCTGTGTGTGTGTGGTTTGTTGTTTGTATTCTCATTATTATACCCCAAGGTGTTGACTCAAAGAAGCCACTTGTAAAAGCAATTTTTTTCCAAACAAAACTTAACAACAAATAAATGAATAGAAAAACAAGAACACGAAGAATAACCGGCGGAAACTTTTCCATACCTTCCCACCAACAACAACTACTAAACGTTGGCTTTGGAAAATTAACAAAAATTAAATGTTCATTCTTTTGAGGCTTCCTTTTGTCTTTTCCCTTTCATTTCATTCCGTTTTTTTGTGGCCTTTTCATTGTCCCTTATTTAATTTTTTGTTGTTTATGTGGCCAGCTTTTGTTGTTGGTTTTTGTGTTAAGTGTTGTAGCCAAGAAGAAGGTGAAGAGTTCGCTTCGACTGGCTAGTTAACAGTTTTCTCCAACAGTTTTGCCTTAAGGATAACACCCTTAAACCGGCCAGCTACTACAGCATGTTGCATGTCCTTCATTATGAAGTAGTCCTTTACGGTTCTTATTATTATTTTCGGTCGTTTTTTTTTTACTTTCGTTTTATTTTAGTTCCGTCGTTTTTTTCTTCTTCTTCTTCTGTCTTGCTCAGCATATTTAAGTGGCATTTAACTTGACCATGAATTATGATGGTCTCGCCTCAAAGGAAACTAATTTTTTCGACTTAATCTATTTGTTGTTTATGTTGTATTTTTTGTTTTGCCTTCTTCGTCTTTAAAATATGGCATATTTTTTTGGAATACCCTAGAACATAATTTGCGAAAAGGAGTTTAAAATGGACAAAAGCTACATTTTTTGAAGACCTTTAGAAGACCTATTAAAAAAATCTAGCAATTGGTCCTCGCAAAGAAGTCTTCTATTCCATAGAATAGATGATGTCCTGACGTTGAGGTCCTCTATTCCATGCGAGGTTTTCCTATGCTATAGGAGACCTCTGCGAGGTTCTCCTATGGTATAAGGGACCTCTGCGAGGTTCTCCTATGCTATAGGAGAACTCTGCGAGGTTATCCTATGCTATAGGAGACCTATGCGAGGTTAACCTTTGCTTTAGGAGACCTCTGCGAGGTTCTCCTAGGCTTTAGGAGACCTCTACGAGGTTCTCTTATGCTTTAAGAGACCTCTGTGAGGCTCTCCTATGCTTTGGGAGACCTCTGCGAGGTTCTCATATGCTTTAGGAGACCTCTGTGGGGTACTCCTATTCTATAGGAGACCTCTGCGGGGTTCTCTATTTCTATAGGAGACCTCTGCGAGGTTCTACTATTCTATAGAAGACTTCTCCGAAGGTCTATTCTATAGGAGACCTCTGCGGGGTTCTCTATTTCTATAGGAGACCTCTGCGAGGTTCTCCTATTCTATAGAAGACTTCTCCGAAGGTCTATTCTATAGGAGACCTCTGCGGGGTTCTCTATTTCTATAGGAGACCTCTGCGAGGTTCTCCTATTATATAGAAGACTTCTCCGAAGGTCTGCTATTCTATAGGAGACTTCTCCGAATGTCTGCTATTCTATAGAAGACTTCTCCGAATGTCTGCTATTCTATAGAAGACTTCTCCGAAGGTCTGCTATTCTATAGGAGACATCTCCGAAGGTCTGCTATTCTATAGGAGACTTCTCCGAAGGTCTTCAGTTTTGTAGAAGACTTCCCCGAAGGTCTCCCATCCTATAGGAGACTTCTCCGAAAGTCTCTTATTCTATAGGAGACTTATCCGAAAGTCTCTTATTCTATAGGAGACTTATCCGAAAGTCGCTTATTCTATAGGATACTTATCCGAAAGTCGCCTATTCTATGGGAGACTTCTGCGAAGGTCTCTTATTCTATGGCAGACTTCTTCGAAGGTCTCCTATTCTAAAGGTGCCCCCTAAAACGGTCTTTTTTTCTAAAGAAACCTCTACAAGGAGATCTTTGAAGGTGTGTTCTATTCTTTAGGAGACCTTTTAAAAGGAACTTCCATTCTATCGGATACCTCTAAAAGGGTCTCCAACTCTATAGGAAAACTGTCCCATTGTCATCTATTCAATTGATTATCTCATTGAGAGGGAGGCCTTTGCGACGGTTTACGGTCGATTGATGATTAGGAGACCTTTAAAATGAACTTCCATTCTATCGGATACCTCTAAAAGGGTCTCCAACTCTATAGGAAAGCTGTCCCATTGTCATCTATTCAATTGATTATCTCTTTGAGAGGGAGGCATTTGCGACGGTTTACGCACGATTGATGACAACTGCGATGGTCTCCAGTTTTATTATAGGCGTCTGAAATGGTCTCCTATTCGACTTGAGACCTCTCCGATTTTCTCTTATTTTTTCCAGACTTTTTCGACGGTTTCCTTTTGGAAAAGACTGTCTTCTATGATAAAGCAGACCTCTTCTATGGTTTCCTACTCGATTGAAAACCACTTCGTCGATCCCCGATTCGGTTAGACACACCTTCAATGAGCTTCTATTCGATTGGACACACCTTCAATGATCTCCGCTACGATTGGAGACACTTCTGTGAGGGTTTCCTATTCTTTAAAAGACTTTTGCAAAGGTCTGCAATTTAATTGGAGACCCCTGCTTCATTTTCCAGTTTTATTGTAGATGCTGTAATGGTCTCCTATTCGATTTAAGATCTCTACGTTTGTCTCTTTGGTTAAAGTCTTCTCCGATGGTTTTTTTTTTTTGAATAGGAGACCTCTTCGACGGTCTTCTGTTCCACATGGGAGACCTACCCAGTTGTCTTGGGTCCTATAGATGTCTGCTAATATTTTGAGGAACTCTTAAGGGCGTTGTTACCGCTTTCATGGTTTCAATGGAAAGGCACTTACTTGATCCGGTTTTCTATAAAATATACCGAAAAAGGCTTCTATATATTAGATACCTCTCAGAAATCCCTTGTATCTTTAGATTTCCCTGGAGAAATGACCTGCTGTAATAAAATGCCATTTTATTTCCTCTTGTCCTTTTTTCGTGAAAAAAATTTCCATTTCATTCATTTTCCCTCCAAGAGCCACTTTGTAAAATGCAGTAGTTTTTTTTTTGTTTTCTCTTTTAATTCCATTTCACTTTCTTTCATTTTCCTCATACCTCTATATATAGTGTATTTTCAATTTTCTTATATTTTTCTTCTCTCTCTCGGTCCTTTAGCCCTCCAGTTGCCTGTCGGACAAGGAAGAAGATGAAATTTATGGTTTCGGCTATGGCGTGTTTGCACCACGTGTTGGTCGTGGCACTTTGACGCAACAGCAACATTTCATACAACAACAAACGCTGCAGCAGCAGGCGCAAATAAGCCAGCAGCAGCAGCAACAACAACAACTGTCATTAATGCAAGGTGGCGGTGTTGGTGGTCATCAATTACAGCAACGCCATCCACAGAGTCTTCAATCCATCCCGCCCAATGCTGCCCATTTGAATTTTGTACAACAAAAGTAAGTTTATTAACATTTTTTGTCGACGGTTTTTTTTTTTGTTTGGTATTTTTATTAAAAAAGAAAAAGAAAAAAACTAAACAATCAATTTTAATAAAATTTATAACATCTCGTTTCAGTTGCCTAAGTCCTCGCTCCGCTTATTTTTATGAATTTCCACCAACGACGGGTAAGTTGCCACTTTTGTTTCTCTTTGTTTTCAATTGTCAAAAAATGCGGAAGACAGCAGCACGAAAAAAAATAATCGCCATAAATCCTTAAAAATCATTAAGTTTTTATTTTTCTGCTGTTGTTGTTCGTGTTGTTATTCAATACATCATTTGGCCCATAAGTCTTTTAATAAAAAAAAGTGTTTCAATTTTTTATTTTATTTTTAAAGCCTAAAAACCTATAAAATCAGTTTTTCCGGACAATGTGTTTTTAATGACACCCTGTATATTTTTTTTAACGATGAGTCCCTTTTTTATAGAAATAAAGAAAACCAAAAAGGCAGGGGCTTAAAAGCTTCCTGTTTTAATGCCAAGGTTTTTTGGCTCCCCCCAAAAAAAAAGGGTGACAAATCATTAAGTTCACATTTTACTTTCTCTTCAAATGTCTTCAAACATTATTCCTCTCCTTCTACCTTAACCTAATATGCTCTCTAACACCATTCAATGCACAACCCCTTGGGGAAAGAACACTCTCTCTCACACACACACACTTACATATAGCCAAGTTATAAAAGCTTCCGCTTTAAATTGGTTTTTATCGGAAACCCGTTAAGTAATTTGCTTATTTATACTTAAAAACCATACTCTCTCAATAGCTACACACATACATGCAGATGTATGTAAATGTGTTACCTTAATATCTTCATGGCCATTAGCACTCACCATTAAGGGGAGGGGAAGGAGGGGTAAGGTTTTATTATCCCCCTCATCCTTTACTTTCCCTTTAACCAACTCCAAATCGGAAGTTGAAATGCAAAGTTATCGAACTGCAGATACATAATTCATTTAGACAAATGTAAGGTTAGTTAGCCCCCCCCTGTCCCCAGGGGGAGCGCAACGTAGAAGAATTGATACCATTCGTAGTTCTCTTAATGGTTTTGAAGTCATTAGTGTCGTTAATAATTCGTTTAGCTTAATTGTTTTGCAACAACATATGCTGATTAAGTAAATAGTTAATTACAAATGTAAGCGAAATAAAAATGGACAGCCTTAAGGGGTTATCTGCAAAAATTTAAAGAATTTTTAAATAACACTGTGCGAAAAAAATTAATTTTTTTCAATAGTTATATAGGAAAAATTTCAAACACTATGGAGGCAGAGCTATAAATAAAAGACATGGATCTTGACGTTTTAAAGGTTTATATGGCAAAGCAACCTAAATAGAGGGGGCAAGTTCCCCCAACCTCTTTCACTTTGTATAGCCTACACCCCATAGTGGTAAGGCTACTATTTCTTTGTGCATTTGTTTGTAACATGGAGAAGGAAGCGAGATAGACGCATAGTTACCTTTGGCGATCTTCATAAAATCACTTTCTGAGTCGATTTATACATGTAAGTCCGTCTGTCCGTCCGTCAGTCTGTACATGCATTCCTGTGAACAAAATGCAGGTCGCATTTATTATCCGATTCAGATGGAATTTTCCAAACAATATTTTTTTGGCCCAAGAAATATCCCTATTGAAACTGGTGAGAATCGGTTCAAATTGAGATGTAGCTCTCATATATATCTACAACCGATTTCGGGTTTATTGTACACTAAATTTTCAATATCAGTCCAAATGACCTGCATTTTGGCAATTACGACCGAATTCAGTCTTGAAGGAAGTACATCAAATTTTGTGAAAATCGGTTCAGATATATATTTCATTCGATTTGTCCCTCACGTGCGTAATATGCACTCCACGAGAATCATATTTGTTACCAGATATTAGATACAGCCCAGAAATACCTCTGCCAAATTTTTTCAAGATCCGTTCAGATTTGGATATAGATCCTATATACACTGGTGGCCAAAACTAAAACAACTTAAATCGCAAAGACAATAAATGTCCTGTAACTTTTACAAAAATAAACAAATCGTAATTATTTTTCCAGTTTTAAATGAGGGGTTTAATTCACTTTCAAGAAACTAAAAATAAAAATACAAAAATAAGTTTGAACGAAAAATAATATGTGGAAAACTAAAATGACCCAATTTTTGCTTGGTCAAAACTAAAGCAACTTATGATTTTTTATTTTAAAATAATTAAATTTTGGCTAGTAGTCGATAGCATAACCATTATTTTTGATAGCAGCTGCACACCTACGAGGCATTGAATCTATAACACGCTCAATTTGATCCTTGGGTGTGCTTTCCCAGGCACCCCGAATTCTTTAGAAAAAGTTGTGCTTATATATTTCCGAATCTCGCTTGATCTTCCTATCTACGATACTCCAAAGGTTTTCTATGGAGTTTAGGTCAGGTGATTGTGCCGGCCATAACAAAACATGAATTTTTGACTCCCGCAACCAATATTTGACAAGTTTTGATACAAGTTTGGGATCATTGTCATGCTGAAACACCCAAATCAGCCGAATATTTTACTCAGCGTAATTGAACAACGTGATGTCCAACACATCTTTGTAAACAAACCGATCCACAACTTCCTTTATTTTACGGATAGGCCCAAATCCATAGAAAGAAAAACAGCGCCACGCCATTTTTGACCCACCCTCATGCTTCACTGTACCTTTGCAACACTGCGGCTTGAGTCCTTCATTTTTTGGTCTTCTCGTCGTAAAATTTTTCACATCTGAGCCTTTAATATTAAACGTAGACTCATCCCAGAAATAATGTTTTTTTCCATTGAGCTTGATTCCACTTAATATTATCGTTTCCGAACGCCTTTTTGATTTTTTCAGATATAAATGGTTTTTTGATGTCTTACGGGCATCCAGACCAGCTGCCACTACTCGTCTACGCACTGATCTCGAGCTTATATCCAATGATTGCTCTCTCACCAATCCAATTGAACTCTTAAATGTTCTTTTTTTTTATTTCTCTCACAATTTGTGGATCAGTACGGGCTGAAGTTTTTCATGGCCTTCATCCGTTATTGACTGTTACTACTGATCCAGTTTCAAAAAACCGACTTAGTATACAGAAATAATTATGAAATCACATAAATATTTATGAAATATTTGTCGGAAATCATTTTCTGAGATATGTTGTTTTGATAGTCACTGATAATTTGCTGTTTTATTCAGGTACTGTATTTGCTTCTAGCCATTTTTAAAATTTTTTGGGCAGTACTTAAAAAACGAAAAGAAAAACACATACTGTTGTAAAAAACTTCTCAAAAAGGATTTATGACAAGCGAAATTGTCGAAGGAAGCAAAAAGCGATAAATATCACAGTAAAAACAACTGAAATTGAAGCGGTTATATGAATATACAACAGAGTTGCTTTTGTTTTGTCCAAGCCAAAATCGGGTTAATTGACTTTATCAAACATTATTTTTTATATAAAAATGAATTTTGGTTTTATGTTTTAGGTTTTTAAAAAGTGAATAAAGTACCTTATTTAAAACAAGAAAAATTTTCTCATTTTCTTAATTTTTAAAAAAGTTACAGGGCATTCATTCTCCTTGTAATTTCAGTTGCTTTAGTTTTGGCCACCAGTGTATATCTTCAAACGATCTCGGGTTAATTATTCACTAATCCAATATCAGTCCAAATGACCTGCATTTTTTCAATTCCGACCGAATTTCTGTCTAGAAGAAAGTACATCAAATTTTGTGAAAATCGGTTCAGATAAAGCTATAGCTCCCATGTATATGTTTCATCTAATTTGGGGTTTTAAGTCCCTCATATGCGTAATATGCACTCCACGACAATAATCTTTGGTACCAGATAACTTATGGAACTCAAAAATACTTTGGCCAAAGTTTAACGGGATCGGCTTCGATTTAGATATCTTTATTGCGATTTCAGGTTTATTGTGAAAATAATGGCTAATATCAGCCCAAATGGAGTGAATTTCGGACGTACGTTTATTTTGTAGAGAAGTTTTTTGCATTTTTTTACTTCGTATGGAGAATACCATTAAAGATTTTTGTAGAAGATAAACAAGTAAAAAAAGCTGTTAGTTCGGCCGGGCCGCACTTTGAATACCCTCCACCGTTTGGAACGAATTTGGCAATTTTCGAAATCAATCAATCAAAATCATCAATATAGGGAGGAGATATATATGGGGGGCTATACCAAAATGTGGACCTGCACAGACGATTTTCTGACTTAGGTTGCAGTATTCATTACGAACTTCAAATACCAAATTTTAAACAATTCCGGTGAATAATTCCGCTAAAATCATCTAAATAGCGAATATCGGGAGGTCCCGCTATATGGGGGCTATACGAAGACGTGGACCTGCAAAGACAATTTTCTGTCTTAGGCTGTAGTATAGGTGAATAATGTCGCTAAAATCAAGAAGGTACTGAATTTCGGGAGGTACCGTTATATTGGGGCAAAAGTCCTGCAGACATAATATAAATGTGAGTAAAATTGTATTAATCTACTTCATTTCGTTCGGAAGCTAGAGTGATTTCCACAGACGGATAGACGGGCAGACGGACGGACATCGATAAATCGACATAGAAATTTATGCTGATCATGAATATTTCGAGGTGTTACAAACGGAATGACAAACTTAATATACCCTCCATACTATGGTAGAGGATATAACAAGGCCCCAAACGATGCTCTTTGAAATCAAGACCTCGAAAAGTCTTATATGAAATGAAAGGACCTTCTCAAAAGGTGTCTATGAAGTATTACTTTAGGGTCTCCTGCTAAAAGACCCTGAAGTTGTATTTTCACAGAAGACATCCTACCCTTCTTCTCACACAAGGAATTATGGTAATCATTTTCTAGAAAAGATCCTTCAATTCTTTTTATGAAGAATACCACTAAGAACTTTTGTAGAAGGGAAAAAATACCCCAAGCAGTCCAAAATAAGGAGTTTTAAGAGTCATCTATGAAATGTAAACCTACTCCTTAGGGGCTTCTTCGAAAAGAAGATGCTAGATCTCGAATTTTCATGTATAAAAAGAAGGTACCAAAAGATATTGCGCAAGAATTAATGGGACATCAAAGGATTTTTTATGATATGTATGACCTTAAAAGTTGCCCTGGGAGATGAATACTCCAAATAATCATTTATGGAATGGGACTTCAAAATGTCTTCTACGAAGGGTGTCTTCAAGAAATGATATTGGTCTTTTGCGTAAAAAGGACCTCAAAATGTCCCCATTTAACAGAAGGCCTTCGATGTATTCACCAGAAAAAATCTCTAAAAAGGTCTTCCATGAAAAAAATCTAAATCAGCATTTGATGAGGAAGATTACATTTGAAAGTCTCTATTAGTAGAAACCCTATAAAGATACAATCCCCTCTGTTAATGGAAGAAATGTCATCCAGAGAAAGTAGATACCAAAAGGTATTGTGTAAAAGCTAAAATAGATCAAAAGATTTCTATGAAATTTAAGACCTTAAAGTTCCTCGGTGAGATAAATACCCCAAAAAGACCATTTATGGAATGAGACTTCGACACGTCTTATACAAAATTTGTCTAAAAGAGTTAAGAGATAAGAAACCTAAATGGTATTCTAAAAGAAGATATAAGAGGGAAAATAGGAAAAATGTTTCAACAGGCCTTCCATGAAAGAAAAGTCTAAATAAGCCTTTAAAGAAAACAAGTAAAAAAAGCAGCTTAGTTCGGCTGAGCCGAACTTTTAATATCCTCCACGATTTAGAAGGAACTTGAAAATTTTCAAAAAAAATAAAACTTCCGGAAACTACCACTTAAATGATAACTGTTATATGGAGACTATACGAAGACGTGGACCTGCTTACGAAGTTTTTTTTTTGCCATAGGCTGTAGTATCCATTGCGAACTTCAAATACGAAATTTGAATGCTCTGGTAAATAATGTCACTGCCGTAATATGGAGGCTATACGAAAAATGTTTGTCATAGGCTGTAGTACCCATTACGAACTTTAAATATGAAATTTAAAATAATTCCGGTAACTAATGTCGCTTAAATCATGAAAATACCGAATATCGGGAGGCACCGTTATATAGGGGCTATACGAAGACATGGACCTGCATACAAAAACTGTTGTCATAGGCTGTAGTGCCCATTACGAACTTTAAATATGAAATTTGAAATAATTCCGATAAATACTGTCGCTGAAATCATGAAAATACCGAATATCGGGAGGTGCCGTAATATGGGGGCTATATGAATACGTGGACCGCCATGGCCCATTTACGAACTTCACCGGTCTACTGGTAAACTATGCAAACATGCTAAATTTTAGTATTCTATCATAATTCTTTTAAAAGATAGCGTGATTACAACAGACAGACGGACAAACTGGCAAACAGACGAACAGACAGTTGACAGACGGACAGAAGGACGGACATCGCTAGATCGTCTTAGAATTTCACGCTGATCCATAATATATATACTTTGTGGGGTCTATTATAAATATTTCGAGGAGTTACAAACGGAATGGCAAAGTTAATATACCCTCCATAAAATGGTGGAGGGTATAAAAAATCTCAAAAGATATTCTATGAAATAAATACGTTTAAAAGTTTTCCATTAAAATATAGTCTCTAAAGGTATTCTATACAAAGAAAGACTCAAAAAGTCCTTTGTAAAAAAGACGCCTCAAAAATTTCTCGATGGAAAAAGTCTCCTTTAGGATTCCGAATTTTCTACATAATGTAAAAAACATAAAAGGAGATCTATGTTTACTTTATCCTTCCGCAGAATCCTAAAAATAGAATTAAATTACCTAACAAATTTTATTTGTTTTCTTAGAATCCTGTCAATTGCAGACACTTTTATTGATATCCTTTCTTCGATGCATTGAAAATATCATAAGGTCCTTCATATCCCTCAAGTATCTAGTTTACACATCCAAACAATTTATTTTTGGTAAACAAGTTTTGGTCATAAAAATTGAGATGACAAATATTTGTGTGTCTAAACTAACAGCAGCACACTATCATAACACTCGAGGACGATGTTATCCTTTGTCGATATCCCTTGTTAACATACACCAGAAAAACAACAACAAATCTTACAAAATATTCTGCAAATGACCTTATCGAGTATTTGAATTGGAAATCCTTTATTATTGCGTGTCCTAAATTCAAGTGTTTTTGTTTGTGTTGGTCGTCTTGTTCAAATATTAAACGTCATCTCGCACACACACACACAAACACACAAAGTGAAGAGCAGAATGTGTCTGCAACAGAATCTATGGACTTTGCGTTTTTAAATGAGGAGGCCAAACAAATTGACAAACAACCACCCTTTCTAGTTTCTTTGAAAAACATAAAAATTTCCCAGAAACTAAAAAAAAAATCAAAACGGCAGCAGCACTCAAAGACAAGTGAAATAAATGCTACCCCAATCAAATGCCTCGAGAAAAGAATCACAAAAAAATGGGAAATCAAAGGAAAATCCTAATGATGTCACACTGCAGTCAAAAAAATGAAAAAAAAAATCGGAAAGAAGCTAAGAATTATTATTGGAACAAATCTATCCTCATACACAACTTATTTATTTCAAAGTCAAATATCAAAACGGCATTCAAGCAAATCAATTGGGCATGTTTGAGTGTGTGTGTGAATTTCTACATAACAATACTAATAATCCGAACTTTTTTTCTGAGAGATTTTCAAAAGCCTTGTGTGATGTATTGAACTGCAATTTGGTGTCTTCGTTAAGCTTTTTCTTTTATTTATTTCTCAATTGTTAATGAAATTGTTGTTCTTGTTTTCATTTCATGTTTTTTTTTCCTCCAGAGGGTCGTGAAACTAAAAAACGCACAACTCTAGCACGTCTATTAAAAGGTTTAAAGACCGTCAATCGTCGAGATCGTGCCAGCCATCAAAATACCGCAGCTCAAGCCCAAGTCAGAGTAAGTATTAGAAAATTTTGAAAAAAATTAAATACAAATTGGATTAAGAAATTAAATCAATTAGGTGCTGCTAGGGTTGGAAACAAAACTGCCCTAGCCGGTCATTTAAAAAAAATACCTTTAAGGTCCTTTTTAAGGTATTTTTTTAAATGACTTCTTTATTTAAAAATTATATTAAACCAGTAAAGAAAGATCAAAAATCGGGCGGAGCCGACTCTATGATACCCTACACTACTATGCGTATTTTAGTAGAGCTCCCATAACAAAATAAGTTTGTATTGGGAATTTATGTGAAGTAGATCATACCAACTATGAAGCTTATTTAAATGGCTTTTGAGTAGTCACAATTAAGGAACTATATCCAATTCTAAATCGATTTTCAAAAAAAATTGACAGGCGCTATTGTACCTCTAGTATCAAATGACATTGCTGCATGATATGTTAAAAAACTATATTAAAACAAGTAAAAAAGCTTTAAGATCGGCCGGGCCGAACATTGAATACACTCCACCATTTGGAACAAATTTGACAATTTTGGAAAAAATGAAATTAAAAATTCTGTTAAAATCTTAAAAATACCGAATGTAGCCGGATCTGCACGACGACGTGAACCTGCATGGGCAACTTTAGTCATAAGCCATTACAATATTCAAATCCAAACTTGAAAAAATCGGTGAATAATGTAGCCAAATTCATCAAATATAGGGATGCACTATTACAGGGGGGGTATACGAAGGAGTGAAGCTGCACAGACAATTTTCTGTCATAAGCTGTAGAATCCATGACGAACCTCAAATACAAAATTTGAATCAATTCCGGTGAATAATGTCGCTAAAAATCATCAAAATACCGAATATCGGGAGATACCATTTTGTGGAGGCTATACAAAGGCGTGTACCTGCATGGGCAACTCTTGTCATAAGTCATTACAATATTCAGATGCGAGGCTTGAAAAAAATCGGTGAATTGTTTAGCTAAAATCATCATAATACCGAATAGAGGGAGGTACTATTATGTGGGAGCTATACGAAGACGTGGGCCTGCACGCACAATTTTAGTCATAGGCTGTAGTATCCTTTACGAACTTTAAATACGAAATTTGAAACATTTCCGGTGAATAATGTCGCTTAAATAACCAAATTCCCGAAAATAGGGAGGTACCATTATATGGGGCTATACCAAAACGTGGACCTACATGGTCAATTTTTAATACCAAAAGTCCTGCAAACATAATACACATTTGAGTAAAATTTTATCAACCTACTATCAAGCTAGGGTGATTTCCACAGACGGTCGGACATCGCTAAACCAATTTTATGCTGATCAGGAATAAACTGCAACCAATTTCAGACTCGTGTCACTTCTAAGCCACTCGTCCGACAGCTGTTAAAATTATTCCAATGACAGCTCATTATATTGTTTACAAGCGTACAAAAGCATTTTGGTGAGAATTTTCCAGAAAAAAAGTTATTCGTGATGGAATTCAAGCGTGATAGGGTGATTTATTTATATTTGGCTGGAAAACCACAAGTGGCTATCGTTAGAGCACTCCAGCATTTAAATGTGAATAAATCTTTTGTGTCTCGTACCATCGCTCGTTACCGTGATACTACTGGTAGCGTAGCCCGACGTCAAGAAAGTGGACGGAGAAAATAGCAACATTAACAAAAATGGTTCCAAAAGTAAAGAAGCGACTTAATCGAAACCTGCGTCGCAGTGGCCGAAATATGGTCCGTGAGCTGATCATATCGCAATATTCCATTCGGCAAATATTGAAAAATGAGCTCGGGGTAAAGCCATTGAAATTCCAAAAAGTGCAAGAACTTACACCGCAACAGAAAGAAAATAGACTCAAAAGAGCTAATGAGCTGCTTAGCTTGACCGAAAGTGATGAACTTCCGAATTTGGTATTCTCCGATGAGAAGACATTCGTTGTCCAGCAGTTTGTTAACAAAAAAAAAAATGATCGTGTTGACTTGCCAAAGAGGTCAGCTGAAAATGTGCACCTTCGGTTGGCCACCAGAACTCAAGCGCGCGGCCATGGTGATGGTGTGTGCAGCCATAACAGCCGATGGTCTCTCTCCGCTTGTTTTAATCGACGGTGACATCAGAATAAATAAATTATCGCGAAAATATTCTGGAGGGTGTATTAAAGCCTTGAGCAGGCAAACATTTGGCCGCAGACCTTGGACTTTCCAAAAGGATTCAGCACCCACCCAGTGAGGTTCCTTTCTCAATTCCTGCGCACAATGGCCACCAAAATCTTCGGTTACCAATCCGTTGGACTATTGTGTCTGGAGTATTTTGGAAAGCAAGGTTGGCACTAAAAAATACCAAAGCATCGATCACCTCAAGCAAGCGCTTCGCCGGGAATGGGCCAAAATACCGCAGAGCAACAGTCGGGCAGCGTGTGACGGTTTCATTGGCCGTTTGAACTCCATAATTCGTGCCCAAGGTGACTAATTCGAACAAATCTAAACTTATTCTAAAATTTGATGTTTTTTTCCGACATTCGCTCCTTCTATTTATTAAATTTAAAAAAAAAAAATAATAAAAATGATGGCGTTTGTTGCAGTGTTTTTATCTCACCCAAAATCAAAATACTATTTTTTGAACCATGCAAGTCCTCAAACAAAGTTATTAAAAATGACTCGTCTTTGGTTTTGATTGTATTTTAAAGGTATTTTTAATAGCCCACAGAGTTATTAAATATATTTTCTCAAAACAGCATAACTGTAGCCCTGAGTGCTCTTAAACCTTTAAGTTTTTGCCCTGATACCCTTACACCCACGTTTTCAGCACTGAAATCCTTGAAAAATATTTTTAGTTCAACCCGGAGAGTCCTAAAAATGTAAAAGCGATGTTTTATTAATTTCCATCTTCAAACTTTTTTCTAACTGGGTTGTGACCCCTTCACACCCTTTTAGACCTTCTACAACTCCAGCCGATGTGTTATTAAATACATCAATTTTGCAACCTACAACCAACCCCGCTCGCCCCCGCCATTTCTTTTTGCACACAACCACCCCGTCCGACATGTCTCTCAAAAAAAAAACAAAACATAAATTTTACATATGTTCGCGTTTTTACATAATCAGACAGTAACACTAAATCATGCGAATATCAACGATTATCATAAAATATTTTAAATATTTACATAGCCCCATGAGTACATGTATGTGTGCGGGTAAGTGTGTGCGAGCTATGCAATTTCATGTTGTTGTTGTTTTTATTTAAAAGTTGTAACATTTGTGTCCTTGTTGTTATTGTGTTTGCCGAAAAAAACACACAAAGAGACTAAGAGGCGAAACAAAGTTTTAATATTTAGCAGACGAGTAAACACCATCCCCCACCTCCTCCAGCCACCCTCCCACCATGCTTCACACACATGTCTGAAACATATATATTTCACTTAAAATGTTTACCAATCGTTAGGCGACCGTGGATGGTTGGGAATGGGGTTCTGTTTGTTTGTCTGATATTGGCGTTATGATGTTAGCAACTCCAAAATTTGTTTCGCATAAATAAATGTAAAAGTCCGTCTGAGCGCAAAAATAAAAGAAAAAAACTCTCAAAACTCAGTATCTGTCTATAAACTCTAAAGAACAATTTCGGTTTCTTTTTTGGCAAAGTTTTTTTTTCTTCTACTTCCCCAGCGAGACAATTTTCTTTATGTGCTGAAAAGGACTTTTTTTTACTGTCTTTTAAGAAAAACAAAATAATAAGTAACGAGAATAATAACATCAGTAAATTCATTTTATTTTTGCGAACATTAAACCATCCAACCAACCAGTCAGCCATCCAGCCAGCGAACCATAGAACCAACCATCGAACCAAGAACATTGCTATGCAAACTTTTAGACATGTGTGTAAATGGATGTGCAAATAAATGAAATGGGGTTTAGGGGGAAGGGGGTGGTGCAAAATTTGGTACCCCTGGGTGATGTACATAGATTGGGGGGATTATATGCTTATACGAGGGTTGGGTAGGGCGATTTTTTTTATTAAAATTTAATTTGAAAAAATAGGATATTTTTTCAAGGGCTGTATAGGCTCAAATTGAGGATTTTGGGAATATTTTTTTACAAGAACATCAATCAATAATTATTTTGAAAGTATTTTTGAAGGACTGCCGTAATCGTAAATTTTAAGGGACCATTTTTAGGAATATATTTAAGAATAATCAGAGGGATTTATTGAATCTATTTTTCCAAAAAAAAAAAAATATTTTTCAAAAAAAATTTTAAGTTTTTAGAACTATTTTGAAGGAAGATCTGGTCAATTACCGTAGGTATTCAAATACTATCATTGATTTTAAAAAATATTTGTCAATGACTATCAGGGCAAGAATCGTGCATATTTAAAACATTTGTTTTTAGGATTTCTGATTAGAACTATTTTTGAAAGACTATTGACCGTGGGTTTTAGTTTTGACGGGTTATCAGATTAAAATTCGTGAACTTTGTAGAAATGTTTTTGTAGGAATATCAGCATAATTGTGGCGAGTTTTGAAATACTATCAGTATACATTTTTAAGAACTTAAAATCAGGACAATATTAAAACATTTTTTACAAGAATGTTTTAAAAGTCTGTGAGATCTAAAAACCTATTTTCTATGAATGTTTGTCCTTTAATGGTATTCTTGAAAACACTCGAAGATTATTAAAATTATTTTTTCAAGATTTTTATGTGTTCCTGTCCTTTAATGGCATTCCATTAAATACCTGGACAAATGTTATAGGTTTTCTTAAATATTTTCAAAGGCTTTAACCATAGATCGGGGAATTTTTAAGAATAACTGTTGTAGAACTCGAATCATTAACAGTGAATCTCAACTTCAAGGAGACGTGGATTAAATATATATTTTTTAATAATTTTTGATTTTTGAAGGACTATTTTTCCACATTTTTCTAAAATTAATTTTTCAAGGATCCGAAATAATGTTCACGGATTTTCTTAAAAGACCCCAGGTCTTTTTGGACCATATATGTTTTGGGGC